TGTAATCCGTTGTCGCTGGCAACTTTCTCTGGGATTCCAAACCTCGCAAATATTTTCTTCAAGTTGATGACACAAATGGTGGTGTTCTGGCGAAGCAGTTCTATTTCAAAGTACTTCGAATAGAAGTCAGTAACTAACAGGTACGTTTGGCCACCATATTCAAAACAGGTCGGTCCCAACCACTTGCCAAGGTAATCCTGGAATGTCATGAGGATGTAATGTCTCTCTCTGTTGTTGGTTGCGAAACGCATTACACATGGCACAGGAACTGACTTTCTTTGTCTTTGATTTGGGCAGACATGGAAGGCCAGAAAACATAATCCCTCGCAAAGGAAAGGCTTTTGCTCTATCCCATGTGAGCTCCATGAATTTCACCTAACCTTTCCACTCTAAATGGTCTTGGCAGTACAATTCTGTCTCATTTAAATAACATGCCATGCTCAACACTCAGGGTGCTACTTTCTAATCCAATTTCCTCAAGAAAATTAGTTCCTACTACATCTTCAGGTTCACTGAATGGTTCAGTTTCACTGAGAGGTCCTCTGCTAAGGCAGTCTGATATGACCTGCAGTTTTCCGGGGACATAACGCACCACAAAGTCATACTTAGTGAGCTTCAGCAACATCCTCTGTAGCCTGGGAGGGGCCTCATTCAGTGGTTTCAGAAAGATTGACTCCAGCAGTTTGTCATCTGCCTCAACAATAACTCTATGCCCGTACACATAGGTGTGAAACTTTTGCACTCCCCATACAGTCGCTAACAGCTCTCTTTCAATATTTGCATACATCTTCTCTGAGATGTCATTGAACTGAAGGCAACTGGTTTGCCCTCCTGCATGATCACTGAACTGAGGCCTGTGCTACTGGCATCAACACTTAGCACCGTTTCTTTGCTGTTATCAAAGTATGCTAGCACTGGCGCACTAGTGATGACAGACTTAAGCTTATCAAAAGCCTCTTGTTGTGGTTTCTCCAACACTAATGCTACATCTTTCTGGGTAAGCTATGAAATAGGCTCTTGTAGATTGGCTTTGTGTTCAATGAACTTGTCTAGGTAATTGACAGTTCCCAGTATTAAAAGTACAACTTGTTTGTAAGAAGGAGGGGGCATCTCAACAATTGTGCAGATTTTATCAGGGTCAGGTTTCAATCCTTCGGCCAAGAACACATGTCCAACATACCGTAGTTATTCGGTTATAAGACGCACCCCAAACTTAGCAATTTAATCAAGCTAAGTTCTCAGACTGAAAATTACGTGAAAATACTCGGTTATAAGACGCACCAAAAAATTGAGAGTTAACAGAAGGATGTGATGAATCTAAGATGTTAATAGGAATGTGTTAACCGTACACTTCAGAAAAACAATTGCATTTGTTTTCACTTTTTCAGTGTGTAAATTACTATATGCATTTTTGTTTTCGATTTTCAAGTGTGGACATTACTATTTGTATGAACACATAAACATTTATTTGAACCTTCCTGCTTAGGAAACATGCTTCTATTAACAAAAGTACTTACGGTTATAAATATTCACTGATCCGATTTTGTCCTATAAAATCACCTGATTTAAAACTCACTTGCAAAACTTACTGATACATTCGCATCGTAAACAGTCAGAGTTCAACTTCACCTTCTTGTTCGATCGTTAATATGCCAAGCACTCGCTGTCACTCGTATGACCTCAACTTCAAGTTGAAAATCGTTGCAGAAGCCGAGGCAGTCAACAACAATTGTGAAATTGCCCGTGAATACGGCATTTCCGAATCCATGGTGAGAAAATGGTGCAACCAGCAACATGTCCTTTTTTTCCGGCGAGCTGCGGATGACAGCAAAGCGTGCATCAATGGGATGCTACCGACCGAAGGATCCTGAGTTGGATCAGCAGTTAGCGGACTGGTTCAGTGATCAATGAACCCAAGGTAAGCATCTAGCAATTAACCTGGATTTATACTGGTGAATTGTTATAAACGTCTCAGAACCGCGATCACTTCAATGCGACGTTTACATTCAATGATTGGTTTCGATCACTAAAATGACATTTGGTTTTGTTGTTACACAGGTTTGTCAGTCAACAGCATGATGCTTTGAGTGAAGGCCAAAGAACTCAGCACCGACCCCAAGTTTAAAGCGTCCCTTGGCTGGTACTCGAACTGGAAGCGCCGTCACTCCATTTCCATGAGAGGGAAGACCAGTCTTGCTCAGCGTCTCCCAGCCGACATGGAAGACAAGTTTGATCCATTCGTCCTGAGATCTCGCCAGCGCTGGGGCTACGATTTAAGTCGTATCCTCAATATGGACGAAACACCAATGCGGTTTGAGCTGCCAGCCACCAGAACCTTGGAGTTTACCAGGAGCAGAACAGTCCCAGTGTTGTCATGGGGCGCCGACAAGCAAAGTTTCATGGTTACTCTGACAGTGAAAGCAAACGGCGAAAAACTCCCACCGAAAGTCATATTCAAAGGTGTTCGGGAGCTGAATACCAACACGCCACCAAGGATGCAAATCTCAGTGCACAAGAAAGGCTGGATGGACGAAGAAGGTATGTTTCATCTCCACACTGTTTATTCAGAGAAGGAACTTTTCGAGCGAGCGACAAAAACGATTCTCGGAATTCGAAACTGTATTGTTGTCATGGATATCATGTTACTGAGCACATGCTGTTAAGCACTTATGCAAATTTTCATTTTTTTGCTTTTCTCTTGAAGTCGTTTCGTATTCTCAAGGTCTCTAAAGGCAGTACCGGTATTCTTTTTTTAATTCATAGGAATAAAGGAGTGGATAAGACGCAATCTTCACTACACCGCAGACCAAAAAGCTCTACTCGTCTGGGATTCATTTCGTGGTCACTTGACGGAGGCCGTAAAAGATCTTCTGGCGAGGCGAAATGTCAACGTCGCTGTCATCCCTGGCGGACTTACTCCCGTATTGCAGCCCCTTGACAATTGTACTAACAAGCCGTTTAAGAACAAGGTACGCTCTCAATATCAGGCTTGGATGGTGAACGGTATGTTTACTTACACTCTGTTGGGGAAAAGGCAAGCGCCGAGTAAAGAACTTTTACAGTGGATACATAAAGCTTGGCAAGAGATACCCGCCGATTTAGTCGCCAACTCCTTCAAGTCCTGTGGAATTTCGAACGCTATGGACGGCACGGAGGATGAAGCTGTGTGGGAAGAAGAAGGAGCTGAGGCTGATGAAGCAGAAGACAAATTAGAGAACGAGTTCGACACGGACAGCGAGTAGGAAGACTAGCCGAGACTAGACGAACAACAACAACCACCACAATGGCTCTTTTCAGAGCCACCCCGGTTCTTTTCAGAACCACCAAGTCTATAAAAGTCAATGACCAACAACAAGTGTCTTTTTCTTGTGTTTCTTAAACTGTAAGTTCTTCTCAAATTGTGATCTTAAGATTTTGTTATGTGAAAATACTTGGCTATAAGACGCACCCCAATTTTAGCACTAACTTGCCACCCAAAGACAGATTTTTCTTGAGAAAACCGTGCGCCTTATAACCGAATAACTACGGTAGCTTACTTCAGGTACACAAAGTTTCGCTTTCTTTGGATTGAACTTCTATCCTACTTCTCTGCTTCTATCCAGAAGTCTTCTCAAGATCTGATCAGCATCTGTTTGATCTTTACCATGTATCAGGAAATCATCCACTATAATCTCCACAGGAACCCCTTCAAAGAGTTTGTCCATCTCCCTTTGGTAGATTTAAGGGACAGAAGAGATGCCAAAAGGGAGTCTTGTAAATTGATATCGACTCCAGGGGGTATTGAATGTGAAGAACTTTGAGCTTTTATCATCCACTGGGAGCTGCCAGTATCAACTGCAAGCATCAAGGGAAATGAAACTCTTTGCACCCGATAATCGGTTGGCAACCTCCTCTACAGCAACCATTGGAGAGTGTGGTCTCTTAAGAGCTTTGGTTAGGTCCCTTGGGTCAATACAAATTCGAACATCATTCTTCGAGAGTGGAGTGTTCTGTTCTTTCACTTTTCGTTTATCAATTACTAGCATAGATGAAACCCAAGGGGTGTGTTCCTCTTCTTTAACAATAATCCCATCTTCTTCCATCTCTGTGAGCTTCTCTAGTGCTGGTTCAAGAAGTGCAATTGGAATTTTTCTGGGAGGATGTACCACTGGAGGGACCGACGAATCAATTTCCATATGTACGTTGTTGGGTAGCTTGCCAGATTGATCACTAAGACAACCTTTATAATCCTGCAACACAGGATCAGTTTGGAAGAAACTTGGCATTTCTTGCTCTGCTTGTTTTGACTCTGGGGTAGTTATCAGTTCAAGGTTCATAAACTCGAGGACTTTTAAGTCCAAACAAGCATCACAACCCAGCAATGGTGTAAAATTTCCATCAACAACAAGGCACAACAGGTTAAGCTCATCACTCCCATATCGGATTGGAAGCCTCACAGAGCCCTTCGGATAAATGGGTTTAGGTGCAAGCCACCGCTTCAAAGGTTGCTGAATTTTCTGAAGAGGCTTGTTTGTGATTTCCTTGTACAGCTCATAGAGGATGACTGTAGCTTCTGCACCAGTATCTGCTTTTATCTGTACATCTTTCCCAGCAATTTTGACAGTAATCAAGCTCCTAAATTTCTTTCAAGTGCTGGAGACACTACCCAGCTCAACTGATCCAAAATATGTGTGCACATTGTGATTCAACGGAGGCCGCTGTTCCACAACTGCAAGTTGTGAACCTTCAGCACCTAATTCTTTGCACACTTGTACAAAATGTCTCTCCTTCTTGTTCCATTTCTTTCCAAGAGCTGGGCAGCGAGGTGGCTAAGTAAATGGGTGCTTGTAACCACAAAACTTACAGTAACAAGCAGTTGTCTTTTCTTGGACCTTGACTTTCCTGAGACGGTGAAATGAACGCTCGGTACCAGCAACCGTTGGCGTGTTAAACTTGTATTTCTGTAGTTCGGCTGCCTCAAGTGTACGGCAATAAATATAAGAAGTTTGCAGCTTTAAATCTCATTTCTTCAACAGTTCACCTCGCAATTTGTCAGACAAAACTCCTTCCACAATATGATCACAAATAAGCAAATCTTGAAGGTCGCCAAATTCACAAGTTAACGACAGTCTTTTCAGTTCACTGGCGAAATTGTCAGTTCTCTCACCTTCCTTCTGGTTTCCCTGATTAAAGACCAGTCGCTCAAAAATTACATTTCTAGCACCCTGGCACAATTCCTCGAATTTGCAACAGCAATATTTGTCTTTTTTATCAGTAAACACAAAGTGACTGAACTCTTCAATAGCTTCTGATGCGGCAAAATGTAACAACATATTTACCTCCAGTTTGTCCGCTTTATCATCTTTACCTTTCGCAACAAGATAGATCTCAAACTGCATGAAAAATTTCCTCCAGTTCTCAGCAGCATTCACGTCTAGGAGCGATGGACCAGGCATTCAAGAATCTCGTTCAGCCATTATACAAAAGACAAAAATACAACTCAACATAAAAATTGTTTGTCCCATCAAGTCGTCCCATAATTTCTCACAGTTCGACAGGGCAGATAACCACTGTTATCCTAGTTTCTGACACCATGTTATAAGATCATTCAATGAAGCTAAAACCAAAAACTAGTAAAAACTATTCTCCCATGTTTGTGTCCTGCACGAGTCAAAACACAACCAATGCAGTTCCTCATTTTCAGGGTGTGCATGTAAGTCAGTCAGGGGTTCCTAATGGGTATCCCCACCGGTTTCAATGTTACAACACCGCCAATTAACTTTTTATGTTTTAGCTCAAAACCATTAAGTATAACCTGGATGTGTCAAAATCTCTGATAATCTCCTCATGCGCCTGCTTTTCCGGGAAATAGTTTTTATTTATTATCCAAATGTTTGGTGGCAAAAAAATATGGATTTCTTTACATCAATCATCAGTTTTTCATTCTGTGTTATCCGTGGTCTCCATGTGGGAAATTGGCCCGCTTTGCTCTTCCAGGTATCTCGGCCATGGCTGCCATGGTTTTGGTCATGGTTAAGAGAGTATGTTTTTGAAAAATAGTTTTTTATTCTCGGTGCTTATCCTTTGTTCCAGTAGTTGATAAGAATAAGTACATGTAAAGCCCTTTTATACCATGGAATATGTACCGAGTTCACGGCAGTCTTTTCGTTCAATATCAAGAATATGCAAATTGATACCGGAATCATTCACTTCTGCAAATTTAAAACAAGCAGAAACGGGTTCCACAATTTGCTTTCACTATCATTATGCGTTTATAGTTCAGGGTATTTTCAAGGATTTTGCAGACCCTGACCCAGCTAACAATAATCAGGATCTGTACGCTGTGTGCATTTGGAAATAGGATCACCATTTTCATTCTGAAGAAAACATACCATTTGAGTAACGCGTGTTTAGGCAAATGGCGCCAAATGAAGGGAAGCTGAGGGATAAATACCTAGTGCATTTTCGCCAGACTGTCATTTCGGTGCGGCATTAGCAGAAAAATTTCCAAGATCAATTAATCGAGAAGTTAACCGATATGAAGCTGAAAAAAGAAATTGTTAGTAACAAGAAACATCACTTTAGATGCTTGTTCTTGAAAAAGCAAGAGCTTCGGAAGCGGCCAAACAACAAATGCAGTGCATGACGGCTGGAGCAAGTGTTAATCCCATCGGAAAGACAGAAGAAAAGGTCAGGGACCAGTCAGGAAAAACACGTTTCATTTGTGGGAAGAAGGGACATTTTGCTCGGGATCCGTGTTGTCCAGCAAACTGGAGAAAAGTGTGCTAAGTGTTCAAAATATGGACATTTTGCTTCTTGTTGCAAAGGAAATCATTCTCCGCTGGAAAGTGGTAAAGACAGCCAACAGAAAAAAGCTAGCAATGGCAAAAAAGGAGCTGGAAGAGGAAACAAACCAAGTGGGGGGTTACTCCGTGGAGGACGAGCATGTCAGTTGCGAGGAAAGGAATCCAGCATTTGCATTTGCTGTAATTAAGGAAGCACTCAAGGAGGTGTGTATGGTGTCAATTTTAAGCGTCGGAACCAAAGCCCGACCAAACTGATTGTTGGGTATTGTCTCTCTCTCCAATCATCATGACGGACAAAGCTTCCTTTGTCGACGAATCTGATGACTATGAAGTCTTACTTGGCTTTTCGGAAGAGGATGAGACTTTGCAGTTTTGGATGCAGCTTTTTGTTTTATGCGTGGGAATCTAAACAGGGTAGTGGACTATTTTTAAGTAACAGTGAACATTTACTCCCCTGGGGAATTTTAAACCCAACAACTCTGCCCAAAAATTATAAATACGGGCCACATTCCAATGAGCAACAGAGGAAGAGAACATATTACTCCAAAAAAAAAAGGTTCTCACCTTCGTTTGGATGATGGCGAACCAAGAATCGGCACGATCAGTAGCTGACAGATTTAACATTACCCTAAGCAGTTGTCATAGGGTTTTGAAGCGTTGCTCTCATCGATTGACTGACCTATGTGGTACCTACATCAAATGGCCAGATGGTATGTACAGGTATCCGGGTATTAGTCCTTCCCCATCAATTATTCAATCTGCAAGTGAATGGGGAATCAAACTGGATTAGACCTACCACATATCTTGTTGTTTTATTCCCCCAAGCCAAGTATAAATTTTAATATATCACAATTTATTGGTCTATTTCGTCTTCACACCTGTCATTTCTCAGCTTAAATTGTTTAGTTAATTGCTAAGGGCATGATCAAGTGATAGAAACTTAGGTTGTCTGATTAGTTAATTTATGAACATTATTGTGTAAAGTAACTTACAACTGTTAATTAATTAAAAAGCTTCCCTGGTAGCAATCCCCCATGTTACACTTGTTTTACCACAAACTGAAGCACTACAGAATTTCACATGTCAATTATGCTTGAAAAACTATTGTTTTACTCCAAAGCTCATCGCAGACAGTAAATATCCACTGTGGTAAAAGCAAATGTTATTGGCATGACTGATGGAACCCATATTGCCATCAGAACACTATAATGTCCACGGCAGAAAACAGACTAGAATTATCCAAGAAAAACAGCTTTACCCTCGGTAAACACGAAGACTCAAATCTCACACGTAGTTCATAGCGAAGGTCTCTCTAAAAACCAAGTACCCAGATAACTAAAAGAGTAACCGCTGACCTAGTATGAACATTACAATTCTCCCCGGGCAGATGCAAACCAGATGATTAAGAAAGAAAAATAAATAGCAAACATTTCGAGAAAACGAAATGAAAAAAAAAAACAGTAAATAACCGAAAATTTTCAGTGCCATGCAGAGCTGAAAGGTCTGATCAAGAAGAGAAAACAAGGTTATCAAAGTTCAACTTATTGTCATAGCAAAGTCCTTAGTCCATAACATAGTCCTTGGTCCATTCTGGTTTCCTGATTCACCTTCCACTACTAGAGAAGCGGGCAGGTAATGATGGGGTTGGTTGTTCCACTGTAGTAGGCAGGTAGTTGTCTTTCACAGGGTTGGTTTCACTTGGGGTAGCTTGACAAAACTCTTCATGCGTAGCTGGCCTTTTGAGTGTATTCAATGGATTCTGGTCCATCAAAATAAAGAAGGGCTGGTAGTTTCACCTGAAGTACTGACTGGATTCTTGTATGGCTTCCTCTAGTGGATTTGGCAGTTTCTTGAAGAAGGAGCTGTTACGGGTGACTAGCTTCTGATCAGTTGTTCTCTTAGCAGTGATCGTAGATCCTTTAACATCTAGGATCGTGTCCGGGACGGGTTCGAAATGAGGGCTTGCCTTGTTTTGAATTCTGTGCTTAACAAGAGTGTGATCTCTGATGTTAAGGCTGTGAGGCTTTGTTCAATGTTTGAGGTCGGCATAGGCCTTCATACGCGCTTCCCTTCTTGGTCCTTCTGCATGGCTTCAACATCAGGATTAACTTGTGCGAGTGTGGGGAGCTTGGTCCTTACTGTTCAGTTCATGTATAACTTGTAAGGGTTTTTCCCCTGTGCTTGGGTGAGGTGTAGCCCTATAGTTGGCTGCAAAAACATATAACTCTGTCCTCCAATCTTTCCCTTGGCTCTGTGCGGTTCTTCCGACCTTGCCAAGATTCTTCATAGTTTTCTGCATGGCCATTAGCTTCTGGCCATAAAGGTGTTATTTTCCCGTGGTGGAAACTCTTCCATGGCAAACTCGTAGAAAGCCTGGCCTTGAAACAGGGGTCCATCGTCGGTTTTCAGGCCCTCTGGTATCCTGTGGGTTGAGAAGATTCGTTCCAGTGCTGGAAAGGTATTCCCTGCTGTGGTACTAGAAACAATCTCTACCTCGGGATACTTTGAATAGGCGTCTAGGACAACCAAAACCATTCCGACAATAGAAAAGGGTCCGCAGAAGTCTGATGAAGCTTCCAGCCATGGGTCATTTGGGGTGGGTGACATCTTTAGGGGGTTCCATTGTGAAGTATTGATTCTCGCTAGATGAGGTATGCAACTAGCAACTTTCCTTTCCACACGCTTATCGATTCCTGGGAACCACTCTCTTGAGAACCTCTGTGGTACTAAAAACAATCTCTACCTCGGGATACTTTGAATAGGCGTCTAGGACAACCAAAACCATTCCCACAACAGAAAAGGGTCCGCAGAAGTCTGATGAAGCTTCCAGCCATGGGCCATTTGGGCTGGGTCACATCTTTAGAGGGTTTCATTGTGAGGTGTTGATTCTCGCTTGATGAGGTATGCAACTAGCAACTTTCCTTTCCACACGCTTATCGATTCCTAGGAACCACTCTCTCGAGTGAAGATGCTGTTTAGCCCTTCATGGCATATGTCAATAACATGCTCCTGCAAACTTTTAGCGATGACAATCATGTGGCCACAGGTTACAACACCTTCCAGGTGGCTGAGCTCTTGGAACACCAATGCATATTTCATAAGAACTGGATCAGCCTTCCAAGCATTACGATTGCAAGCCTGAATGACTTGGATGAGCTTGCTGAGCTCTCAATCCCTCTTTGTTGCATCTTGAAGTTCAATAAGTGAGATGGCTTGGGGTGCTGTGGCGTGATGATACTATGTACAACTTGTTCTCACACGTTACAGGTTTCAGTGACACTCTCAGTGAGAGGGATCATGTGCCGTGAAAGGCAGTCAGCTGCGTTCTTGTTTCTGGGGCAATATTTCAATTCAAAGTCAAACTGCAACAGGTATAAGAGCCAGCAATCAATTCTCAAGGGAGGTATGCTATGGGGATTGTTAAAGAGCGGTAGCAGGGGCTGGTGATCAGTTTCAAAGACAAATCAACTTCCAATAAGGTACAGGTAGCAGCGTTCGCAGGCCCAACAGATGGCAAGGGCTCCATGGTCAATTTGAGGATACCCTTTCTCAACCTCTGTCAGGCTTCCGCTCGCACACTCAACTGTTTTCCACCCTTCTGGTTTCCTTTGCAGGAGAACTAATCCGGGACCATTGGGGCCGGCATCGACAAGGAGCCTTGTTTGCAAGCCTGCCTCATAGTATCCGAGAACAGTGTCACTAGATAGCGTGTCCTTTAGTTTTTCAAACGCTGCTCGCTCTGTGCTGGACCAACACCATTTGACCCCTTGGTGGGGGAGCTTGTGCAGGGGCGTGGTCACCTCTGCAAAGTTGGGGATAAATCTTGCGGAGTACTAGGCCATACCCAAAAGAGAGCACACCTCTGATACATTCTTGGGTGGGTACATTTGTTTCAGAGCTTCAACTTTGCTTAGCAATGGCTTCAATGCATCTTTTGAGAACACAAAACCGGTACTCTCTGGTACTCTCATCTCTGAACAAAAACGAATGGCCTGAGGATTATGAGGTTTAGGGGCTATCACAGGATTTGTACACCAAGTAGTAGGTTAGTTGTTGGGTATTGCTTCCATGACTCCTTCTTCCCTTAATCTCAGTTCCTCATGTGCAGCTTTTTGAGCTACATTGTAAGGGATTCGTCTCTGCTTGTGTGCGACAGGCTGGATACTTTCATCCACAATCAACTTTGCCTTGATGTGCTTGTGGTTTTCCAGGCCAGAGAATATGTCATGATACCCTCACATCAGGGTTGACACTACTGAGTCTGTGGGCATGGTACAAGTACAGCTTTCTGCAGGCTGTTTGGCTTCTTCTTGGGTGGCGTTAATCACATGCAATAGTCCTAAATTTATTCAGTATCAAGACTCAAGACTGGTGGAGACTTGGTAATTCCCTTAGCAACAAGGAAACGGGTCATACTTTTCTTTCCAGTGCTGGCACTTTCAATTTCTTCATTGAAACAACCAATGAGGGGAACAGGTTCCTTTGGAGCGAATGCATACAACTGGGTATTAGTGGGTTGCAAAGATATATTCTCCTCGAGGGCAGACTGGAACTTCTCGAATTTGTGCTCATCCATAGTGTTTGCTGTGGCGCAGGAGTCTGCTTCCCTCTTTCCTTTAAGCCTGTTAATGCAAACCTCAACCATAGCATGGTTGAGTGTGTTTGAGTTGTCTCTCTTGTTCCTCTTCTCGTTTCTCCTGCCTAACATACTTGCCTGAAGATTGCTGACTGCCCTGTGATTCCTTTGGTTTCTTTTTACTTTTGCACATTCGGGCAAAATGACCCTTCTTTGAGCAGGAACCGCATGTTTTCCCAGAGGCTGGGCAGTATGATCGGGGCCCTTTGGCAGGAATTGCTCTTCTTGTCATCATGTGTCGGTTTAGACTTTAGTTTGTCCTCGGGATCCTGGTGTCTCTTCTGATGCACTCTGTTGACCAGATTTCGTGCAGGGGGTGCACAAGGGAGTGTTTCCTCCATATGCTGGGATTGGCAGTCAATGTCTTCTTTATTTGCAGCATGTTCCAATAATTGTTTTAACGTATACCTTTTCACCATTGCTTCCCAGTGAAGTTTATTGTCACGCAAGGTTTGCAGAATTTTGCTTCGAATGACGTCATCAGGGTCCACAAAAACACACTTTGCAACTTGAAGCCATTAACAAATGTGATATTGAGCGACCGATTCTCCTTCGTTTTGGCACATTTTCTCCAATTTACTGAGTGCATAGTCGAGGTTAACCATGGGAATGAAATTGTTGTCAAGTTTGGTGATGAGTTTCTCGTACTCGTTTGGACTCTGGAGGATTACAGTGAAGGAACATTTTCAAGTAATTTGTTCAATTCCCGTATTTGTTCTCCTCCGTAATGTGAAGAGCATCGACATGATCGTGAGTGCCTGAGATAGAAAAATATCGCAATCGAGTCAACAGCCTGTTTTTCCACTTCTTTGATCGACAACCAGTTTCATTGGGGTCCGAGTCAGTGATAAATGCTTGCATCCTGATGTCCTTCGATCCGGACGTCGAATATTGAACGGCTTGTGTTGGCAACACTTGTGTTGGAGATGCTGCCATAGGAGCCTTAGAATTAGAACAGGCACTGAATACCATTGAAGCAGCTAGTTCTCTACTGAGAGTAGTGAACACTCTAATGTCAGTATTATACCTTTTACATCTCACCATACAAATGACTTGTATTTTAAACACTTTTAGACATGTAATGCATTTGAAATAAATATCAACCTATAAAAGCCTCTCTGGGTGAAGTGTAGGGTAAAAATATTTATAGTGTTGTTAGCAGTTACTGATTAACAGCATCTTGTAAAATTAATGATCAAACTTGAAAAGTCTTTGCCCTCTCCTCCTACATGCATCATTGATTCACTCGTTGATCTGTGAATTTGGTAGTGATATTTTCAGCTCTCAGCAATAGGTTTTATACTTTGTCATTTCTTCTCTCCACGTGGCTAATAACTCTATTTTGCAACAATGTTCATTTGACAACAGACCAACGCCATTTCAATTATATACTTTCCTCTGTACGACAGACAGTGGAAAGGTGTATACGGCTGCTCAAGGGGTAATGGAGAAAACAGCAATTTCTTGATCACTTAGACATTGAGCTGTTGGTGTTGATAATAATTTCATCATGTGTCTTGGGACAATTTTTGCTTGATTCACGATGACTTTGATGAAGGTTACTTTGGTGATCAGGATAAGGATGATAATGACAATGATGACGATGATGGAGAGCACTGTTTGGCACAACCACTCTTGAGAAGAGCTCAATTAAAGAGGATGCATATTAGGGGAATGTTGCATTAATCAACAAATATTCTTTCTTTTCCCTATCCTTTAAACTAATATTATATTTACTTAAAGAGTAAGTTATCTTTAGTGGATATCACTTTTACTGTTGAAAAAAATGCAGTTTTCTGAAGTGAAAAACAATACAATCATGACCAAAGTCCCTTGTGTAGTTAGAACTTCATTCAGTTTACCATACATGTTGCCTGGCAATGCAAGCAAAGCCTCTACATCAATCAGAGCCTTTTTTGCTTTTCTTGAATCTGCCTTATTAAGTAAGCAAAATAAAGGCTCTCCTCACAGGGTGGATACACTTACAAATTATTTGCATGGTCACATTGCAACTTATTTCTTTATGGGTACAAGATTGGGATCCCTGAAAGAGATTGTGAAAAACAAGTAAAGCAAAGACAGGAAAAAACAACACCACTTTAGTTATAAATTACATTTTATTGATTTTCACAATTGACAAATTAGCAAAAATCACTTAAGAATTTCCGCCACACACCTCTGGCTGCCAACTTTAATATAAACAGTTTTTTTAGTTAATATTTTTGTTTGTTGTTCATTTTTATACATTAAGGCCATGTCCATAAGGAGTTCTGTTACCCATTGCTCAACCAACCCATGTTGATGAAAAATGAAAAAAAAAAAGATGACAAAATTATTTAATAATTTCGAAATATTCTTTCTTCCCTAAAAACAAAAATGTACTTCGATATAAATACAAAGAAAAACACAACATTGTCAAGATCAACAAGGAACCTACTAAACTATGACTCTCAGATAATGAAAGACTTCGCTTAGACAAACTTTGAGAGAGTTAAATACAGTCACTTATATCAAGTGAAAGTCTCCAAGTCCCTCAAACTACAAAGTATTGTCCTATTTCTTAAAGTCTTTAAGACAGGAGAAAAAATCTGCAAAGAATTGCTTCTTTTCTTCTTGCATGGACTTTAGGATAGTAATTTTTTCTTCCTCGACCCTTCCTTGTTTTTCGCTGAACTCTTCTAAAAAGTCAATCATTTCAGCTGCTGAGGAGCCTAATTTTCTCTTCCTTGTCACCCTTTTCTGCTAATTTTTCTCTTCGCAAAAGCTCCATCCCCTTCTCTGTCTTCAGAATCAGACTGACTACTATGATCATTATGTGCCCGTGAAGAGGACCCACTCATTGTCGAGGAAGAACTAGACACCTCATAAATAAATACGGGCCTTATGTTTGGGTTGTCACCAACACACTCCTCCATTTCTTCATAAAACTTCCATGTTTTCTTAGCTCTATCTGTTTTACTATTGTTGTCCTCTACTTCTTTCTGTTTAGACTCTAACTTTTTCCATTTCCTTAAACACTGATCAGCAGTCACCATCAAGTTATAGTGTAGATTAAATTCCTGGGCAATTTTTTCGAAAATCTTCTTCTTTGGTTGTTGTTACTTTCCAAACTCATCCTTGAATTTCATATAACTGGCAATTAGTAAACGTACATGCTTGTCGCCCAATCTTTCCAGGAAATTTTTTGAGCTGGTGGAGGTTTTTGGAAATAGCTCACGGATTTTTTCGCTCTGACTATCAAAGGGCTAGGGAAACACACTGCTAGGAGAAAAACACGGGAAAAGATCATCAACTTTCGGAGAAGCCGGTAATATGTTTGTCCTTAAGAACTAATGAAAACAAAAAGAAAAAGCAAATTAAGATGCACTACTGCAGTGACGAGCTTAAGCAGGACTGGAAACAAAAATTTCTGATTTTTGGTCGCACCAGGTCAGAGGACCACCTCTGAAGGTGGACCACTTTTGACTGGAAAATTTCCACCTGAACCAAACCATTCCATTTACGTTTGGACCGAAATTTCCGGAAATTTTGACATAATGGAAGGCACCCAAGATTTTCGTGCTGAATCTCCACAAAAAATGCCCCACAATGATAACAATAACTTTTTATATGACTAAGACGATTTTAATATACTTCTATTGCTTAAGTTTTAGTTAGCTTATATGCACGACCCTATATGCGGCAATGCTTTAATCACCGTGTTGAAATAAAAGTGACTGTATGGTATTGCATTGTATTGTATCCTAAGGCATTTCAGGGAATAGGAAAACTGAAAGATTTCAAGCTACATTTGCATGTTGACCCAAACGTACCTCCAGTGGCACAAAAGTTAAGGAGTCCCGTTTGCACTCCGTGAAAAAGTTTCTGCCAAAATAAATGAGTTGCTGAGGGAAGATATCACTGAGCGAGTAGAACGAGTCCTGTTGTTGTAGCACCCAAGCCTTCCGGAGAAATAAGACTCTGCATGGACATGCATTGGGCTAACGAAGCTATCTTTCATGAAAGGCTGCCTGTCCCCACTGTTGATGAGCTCTTGAAAGAGTTAAATGGTCGTACAATCTTTTCAAAGCTGGACCTTCACTGGGGATTTCACCAGATAGAGTTACACGAAGATTTGAGGGACACTATTACTTCCATTACCCATGAAGGCCTCTTCAGGTACAAAAGGCTCAGTTTTGGGGTGAATGCAGCACCTGAGAAATACCAGCATGTTATCAGGCAAGCAATAGAAGGGACAGAGGTTGCAGACGATTTAATATGCCATGGGAAGACTGTGTTAGAGCATGACCAGAGATTGCACAAGTTTATTGACCAAGTTGTAAGAAAAAAATCTGACTTTGAACAGTGAGAAGTGTACCTTCAGAATGAATAAAAATAATAGTCTTTATGGGAATTCTCCTTTCTCAGCATGGTGTTGGACCTATGGAGGAGAACGTGCGGGCCGTGAAGGAGGCCAGTCATCCAATTACACCTTCAGAAGTGAGATTTCTTGGGTTGGTGGGATTCAGCTCCAGGTTTATTCCAGAATTTGCCACTATCGCAGAACCCCTAAGAGCACTTACCAGTAATGGAGTCAAGTTTGAGTGGACCGAAGTACAGGACAAAGCTTTCCAAACACTGAAAGAGCAACTAACAGAAGTGTCTATCCTAGCCCATTTCAACATGACCACAAACACAAGGGTTATTGCGGATGCCAGCCCGGTAGCACTTGGCGCTGTTTTAGTTCAGGCAATGAATGAGCAGAGCACCACTGTCTGCTATGCAGGAGTCTTAGTGATGTAGAGCGAAGGTATAGTCAAACTGAAAAAAAAGCTTTAGCTCTGGTATGGGCATGTGAAAGGCTTAATTTGTACCTGAACGGCTTGCCTGAGTTTCACCTAGCGACTGACCACCAAGCCCTGAAGACCATATTTGGCCCAGGATCAAAGCCATCAGCGCGTATTAAACACTGGGTATTGCGATTACAGTCTTGTAACTACATAGTGTGTGTCTCATCAAGGAACAACATTGCTGATGCACTGTCTCTCACCCAGCAACACAGGGGTATATTCAAGATGACGAATATGTAAGGGAAGTCACTCTACAAGCAGTACCAGTGGCGTTCAGAATTGAGAAAATAGAGGAAGCCTCCCCACAAGATGAAGACCTAAGAGTTGTTCATGCACGTTTACAGAGTGGTGACTAGAGCAAAGTGCCTAAGGATTTTGCAGTGGTACCCAATGAACTAACTTACCTTGGCCAGGTAGTATTACGAAGAACAAGAATTGTAATCAAAGAAAAACTTCGGAAGAGTTCTTGCTTTAGCCCATGACGGGCATCAGGGCATTGTGAAGACTAAAGAGCAATTACGGTCCACAGTATGGTGGCCTGGGATCGATCGACACGCTAAAAATAATAAAGAGAGTGTTTTGGCTGTCAGCTAGTCAACAAACATGTCCTACCCCCACCAATTAAGCCCACAAGGTTACCTGACAGAGCATGGCAAGAGATAGCCCTGGACGTGCCAGGACCACTGCCTGGGGGAGAGTATTTACAGGTAGTGGTGGACTACTTCTCCAGATTTCAAGGCAAGGGATTCCATGGAGAAGGAGGAACCCACCGAAATGGATGTCGTATGGCTAAACATCATCATGGAACTTTTTACACGGCAGAAATCTACTCTCCAGGAACTTCACGGGAAAATCGCAGCACTCATCGAAGAACCGAAGGACCTCAAACAGGAAATTTTTGACACGGAAGAAATCCAAGATGAAATACTAGAAACATCTAGCCTGATTAGTAGATTCATTAATCTCACATTATCTGATAAGAAATTTACTCAACCCCCTTCGCCTACCATCCGTGAATACACAGCCACCACCTCTCATCCCTCAGTCGAATACTAACCACAGTAGCCTTCATCCTAAGTTGAATTTACCTACGTTTTCTGGCAATCCCCTCAACTGGTCCACTTTCTGGGACTCATTTGAAGCTGTAGTTCATTCCAATACAACACTGGGGAGAGTACAGAAGTTTAGTTACCTCAAGGCCCAACTGGCAGGGGATGCATCAAGGGCTATACAAGATAAGATAAGATAAGAAGTTTATTTTAGCACAAAAAAAAAACCACCAGCATTGCTGGTGGGGTCGTGCATACAACAATTACAAGAAAAATAAGGAGTACTGAAAGCGAATGTACAATTAAAAACAAAAACTGCTAAATATAACTGTAACCGATATTTCAGTTTTCAGTTGTAGCTAAAATGGGTTGTGAAAATGTACGATTGAAAATTAAAACTGTTAAAAGTATTCGTAACCAATATCTATATTTACTTCGGCGGAGCGCGAAGTAAAGGATTCGCAACGCTCAGGAATGTATTGAACTTGACTTTTTTTGACAAGATTGGGCACACCAAGTCAGTACGTGTTTTCGGTTTTATTCGGCTATTTGACGAATTGAGAGCCGAATTAGTTCAAGATATCTCGAGATCACTTTGATTTCTGTGATTTATTCTTTCGAGGAAGGAAGAATTATTATTTTGGCTTTCCTGGGGTTTGAACCGACTCACCTGTGTGACCTGTCAGATCAGAGGAGACTCTAAGTTGAGGGATTAGCCGATTGCGCTACTGCGATGCACTAGTTTCGGGACAAGATTGGGCATGCAAGTACGTGACTTTTCAGCTTGTTTCGGCTATTTCACGAAATGAGACCAGACTACTTCGTGATATCTTGAGATCACTTCGAGTTCAGTCTTTAATTTACTCAAGGAATAGATAGATGATATAATGTGGCCCTGCAGAGACACAAAATTTCTCTTTGAGTGTTGAAAAACATTTCTCGTGTGAGCTCTGCTTTCACACTGTTTTATGATGAATTTAAAGCTACAAGATGCTGCACAAAGACAGTTTGTCTTGGTTGAGTGTTATGTAGCAAAATTGCTTTTATGCATTGCCTGAATTTCTAGAATGTTCTCTACATTTTTGGATTATTCATGAGTAATTAATTAGGGCATGTTTACATTTCAGCATGAATCAGCAGATTTGCATCAGTTACTGAAATCATAAAATATGTTGAAAAGCTACTACTATTGGCCTGTTTAGTATTTTCTAGAACCTTATATCAAACAGTATACAAGTTCCAAGCGAGTTCTTTTAACGAACTAAGGTCTATTTTCACGATCTGTGTTTACAAGTTGGCGGAAGCCTTAAGATAGCTGAAGTTCAAGTGACAGTTTGTTATTATTGGCAGAGGTTGTTTAGTTTTACTTAAGTTCAAGTCAAGTTTGTGCTGGTGGATGCTCTGTTTTAAAGCTCTGTACAGGCTATGTTCCTCTGGCATTAAACTTCCTTGTGATGATCCGATATCCCTGCGTGCTGATAGTCAGTGAATATTTATCCTTAAAACATTCGAACTCGTAACATTAAGTTTTAGCCAATTCCATGCTAAACGTAATTGACTCCTTACCCATGCCTTACACATCTTTAATCAGTACATGAGATTGCTATGCTGTTTTTGAAGCCTGATGTGACTAAGGAAAATGGAGAATTCTTTTTTCACTGTTTGTTTTGCTTGACTTGTTATTCACAGCCAGTAACCTCATATTTGACTTAGGTCTAAACGTTTAGACCCAAGTCAAATTTAGACGGATTTATATGGAGTCATAAGAGCATAACTAGGCTAATATGTCAGAGAAAATTTGTCCCGAAATGCTCATTTTTGGCAAGTAGGCCCGTTGGATGTTGCTCTTTTCAGAATATCCTGACAAATCCCATAATTTCACAAATTAACACCTTACTCTTACCATATTTCATTTCTTACTATTCCTTCGCATTTACAAGTAATCAGTTCCACAACCACGAAGCCAAAGTGTACGCTTGGTAGTGTCTTGTTTTAGTTGTAGCTAAAATAGGTTCAAAATTCATTTTATCAGTATCAAATTTTACAAGACAGCGTTTAAATTCTTTCAAAGTTTTAGCCCTTGTTTCCTTGTTCGTTAAAGTGTTCCATGCGATTGCTCCTCTAAAGCATATGGAGTTCCTGATAAAATTTGTTTCT